TCTTAAGTTTGCCATATTCTCTACATAGACCTGAGGCGTAGGAAATCATTTCAAAGCCAGATCTCTCCTGGAGTTTTGGAGCTGTTCTGATACATGGCTTTGGCTCAGACCCATCTCTACAGCAGTCATTAAATATAATCATGAACACATGAAAACATGACTTTTCTTCAAAGCAAAATAAGAGAGGGCAGCTCGTTGGTGAAATCTTAGAACTTCCTTCTAATTTTCCTTTTGTTTTTACCTGCGGCAGCACTTCTGAAACTCATTTAATTTGCATTCCATTATAATGTAATACAGATTGTTCCTTTTCCATTCCAACTCACTGTGGAATGCCTTTTACATATTACTTTATACTTTTTCTTTGAAAATTTGTTGTTCCAGGTTCTTCTTGACTTCCGTGGTATTGTAACATTTTGTGTTCTGCACGTGCAATGTATTAAGATATGAAAGGGTGGAGAATGCCCCTTAGTTTCTTTTAATACATTCAGTATTTAAATTTAATGGAGCAGTTGTATACCAAAGTTTACTGCAAGTTGAAATAATTCACTGAAGCATGAAGCTATTCACTGTTCATGCTCACTGAAATATTATTAGAATGCTTTATATACAGATTTTCTCAAGCTATTGATAATATTATTCTTATTTTATACCATCCCATAGTCCATTGGGCTCTTGGAATATAGATTGAATACCTTTATTACAGCTTGCAGCTAGCTAGGAAGCATCCTCAAAAGCAAGTCCCACAAAGCTCAGTGGAGATTATTTCCTAATAATTGTGCTCAGAAGAGCATAGTTGAAAGGATTTTAGAAACATTCCCTCTACAGGTAATCTGGGGAAATACTATATATTGGTGACCTCTGACAGCATTTTTGGCTCCCTCAGAAATTTACTGTTCCTAGATTTTTGGAGGGGAAAGTATGACAATTCAGACAGTATAAACCTGGTTTGTGGTGTTGATGGGCCCTCAGTTTTCATATAATGAAACTTGTTTTCAGAGGATTAAGAGTTCTGTGCTGCCACTTGAGCTCTGAGCCTGTGCTTATCTTTGAACTGGATGCTTTATAAATTTGCTGTCTTCTGAATTATGCTACTCTCTAAAACCATGTTGCATGGAATATGTGTGCTGAAGTCACTGAACTAGCTTCTAAAATCCCAGTTATTCTAGAGGCTCATAGATTGGACAGCTAGTGCACTTATCAAAAGGTATTGTATGTATCAAGAGGAGTCTAAGTTAACATGGTGCCTCTTAGCTAGTAGTGCTTCAGGAATCTGAACATAACTAAAAACTGGTTGTTTTAAGTTACTGTTTTCACAGTTTGGAATAGACCAGCTAACACTTTCTGCTTAATTGGAAATTGGAGCATAAGAAAGCCAGTAGTAAGACTAATCTGTCACCTTCTGGCAGCTGTTCATTAATTTATATTTGTGTAACTTTGGCCAGGTCAGTCTGCTTTGTGTACAGAAGCTAAGCTTTCTTATCTTTTTGTTATGGAATGCCTTTCACACAGACAGAATTGTGTTTGCTCAGTACTTCGCATCTGTTTTCACCTACTTCTCTGACTCTCCCTACACAATTCTCATCGTGTGCTTAAGGCTTACCTTATAAAACCCATGAAATGAAAGAGAGTCTGTCTTGCTTATATAGACAAGCAAATCCCTATGTAATGCTTTCTTCTTAAATGAAAATAATCCATCATTAGTGTAGCATGAACTGTGCTTCAGAATATTGCTTCTCCTAATTTCAGAAAGCTCTGATTCCTTTGAATTATTCAAAAGATATGTACTTTATTTATAAATGTATAGTGTTACTTTTATGCACACCCATTCTTCATTGTGGTCTCTGTGCATCACACATACAGGCTCTGTGCACATGCATGGAGCTCATTCAGGAAGATTCCAAAGCTGATTAATTATTATTCAGTGGGAGCCTGGCCCCTAGCTACACCTGGTGTGTGGGAAGGGGCTCCCACCAAGAACTTAGTTCTTCTTCGACGGCCATCGTGTGCCCATCAGGAAGTTCTTCCTCTGCTACTTACTGATACAAACCATTGTTTGTTCCTTTTCAAACCTCCTAGATCCCTTTCATCTTCAGGTTTTTTTCCTCTGTATTTATCTGCTTTGTGTTTATCTGTTTATAAACACTTTCTTTGTGTTTGTCTTTATCTCCATCTCTCCTACAATAGACATATACTATATATATATGTGTGTGTATAATATTGCTAAATATATTAATTTCTGCCTACTTTTCTCACCTCTCAAATGGCATCCTAGCTTCCTTTTCCTGCTTGAGAAAATGGTGCTTAAAACTCCATTCTGCAACTATGTTGAGTATGGCAACAAACTGCCACCTCCCTGTGCTATTTTTTTACTTTTTTTGCCTTGGAGAGACTCCATTATTGACTCTTGCTTCCACTGCCAAGTGTTTACAAAGCAGGCAAGGAAACTCTGGGCAGACAACCTGAAAACAGAACTATGGAGCCACACCCTTCACATGGACAACTCTCCCCAACCATCTACTTTGGGAGCTGCACTCCCAGAACTTCAATGGAGCCCTCCTCTCCTCCTCGAGAAAAGTGCTCCAAAATGGCAAATTCAAAAAGTCATCAGAAAAGACCAAATCTTGGAAAACACCCAGTCTTTCTAAGGACCAAGGTGCTGAAAAATGGGTGAAGAAATGCTGTGACATGCTGCCTCTCTCAGGCCTCCCCTGTATTGAAGACACAGTGCCTGGACAAGAGTTAATCCAATACCTCTCTCTGGCACTGGGACTGGAACAGGAGCCTTTAGCCCAGCTGCCACAACCACAATCTGCCTCATGTCTCAGATGGTGTTGGCCTCTTCTCCACTCAAGTCCTCCACCTGGCCCATAGTCTTGGACTCAATCTATGCCAGGATCCTGGCATGGCAAAAGATCCAGTCTTTGAAGCGGTGTATGATGAGACTACCGATACTATTCACCATATCCTTCCTACCTATCTGCCTTGATGTGGTACATCAGGAGTGGAAGTCTTTTGCATCAGAAGCCTAACCCTTTCCTTGTAGACATGAAAATATGTACAGGGTACAAGAAAAAGATTCAGAATTCCTTTTTTAGAACCCATGCCCAAATTGTCCTCCACTCATTTACTTGGAAACCCTTTGAACCCATGGCTTCTGCTGATCTCTGTCTTTTGCCATTTCAGACAGCTTTTCTTGTGGCTGTCACCTCAACTCGTTGAGCCAGTGATTTATACATCTTCAGGATCGATCCACCCTACCTCACCTTCCACAGAGATAAAGTGGTACTCTGTCTTGATTCTACTTTCCTTTTGAAAGTCTTCTCTACCTTTCATGTCAACAAATCCATTGTTCTTCCAACCTTTTTCCAGTCACCCTCCAACCCAGCTGAGCTAGCCCTTCACTCCTTAGATTTATACAGAGCCCTAGCTTTTATAAAGCCAGGGCACAACCTATTTGTAAGTCATAAAGACTTTTTGTTGCTTGTGGAGGTGCAGTTCCAGACTCATCCATCTCCACTCAAAGACTTGCTAACTGGATATCTTGCACAATCCAACTAGCTTATGATTTTGCCAGACTTCAGCTCATTAGCCCTATCTGCTCATTGTGCTAGATTGATAGTAACCTCCACAGCTATGTACGCAGAGTGTCTCTTGATCTGTGTCAAACATCAACTTGGTTGAACCCATCAACTTTTGTTTGCCACTATCAACTAGATATCCAGGCAAGAGTGGACAGCACCTTTGTGAGAGCTGTCCTCTCTTCTCTTCTACAATGAGTGATACCACCCTCCTCGAAGGGGTAGGCTCACTCAGTCGCCAGTATGTCTGATGTACAAAGAAAGGCAGGTTGCCTAGATGTTAATTGTCAACTCAAGGTTGCTTGAGTTCCTGTTAACGGAGAGTCTTTTGTATTAAGTATGTTATTTTCTTTTTCAGGCTAGTCATTTTACAGTTTTACTTTAAAATAATTGCAACAAAAATGTGGTTTTTTGTGCTTTGTAAAGTATCTTGATTAATATTTTTAAAGTCTATCAAAAAGTGGAGGAATGCTACCATTTTGTGATACCATGGTTGGTTTTTACCATGAACAAAATGAACTTAGAAAAATACAAATAACTGGATCTCTGTCTGATTCATTCTTCTTTTGTTGAAAATAAGTTTAACAAACAGTTGTTGACTGTAGTTATATGTAGCTGCTCTCTTGAACAATTTATCTGGAATATGCAGAAATATTGAAGAAGCAGTGGAACAACTTGGCTTTTTTCATTGTAGCTTTAAACTAGCTAGAGTAGGAAAGCCCCATATTAATTAAGAGAAGATGCATAGGCTCTATGCCAATGCTGAGTACTGCTTCGTATACCCAGATAATATCTTACGTGTTTGTAAGTATGTAATAGTTGGTAGCAGTATCCTTGACAGCACTGTCATTGTGAAAGCTACTTCACCTAGTCCTACACCCATTTAAGTCACCTTAGGACTGCTAGGTCAGCCTCTGTTTTTCTCAAATGTACCCTGTTCCTTGGATTCAAAAAAATCACAGCATTTCTCACAGATGGAGTAGATCTGAAGGGCTAATTCCAATCTGCTTACTACATTGTTGAAATCAGCTCTGTAACAGATTGTTTTCCGGTTGGGAAAAGTAATCGTGTGATTTAGGGTATGTAACAAACATATGATCAGGATTTGTTAGCCTATCAGTCATAAAGTGCAGAAGACAAAGGACAAAGTAAATGGAAATATATAGTTTGTAATATCAAGAATAATTCTAATTATCAAGCATTGTAGACCTAACATGAATAATAATGTTTAAGAATTTAGCTACTGACAAAGTAGTATTGATGTTGATCCTTTAAAGTCAGAAAGCAAACAGCAATTCATCTACTCTATCAGAAAGTTAACACTGTCCTGTGATGTTTAAATCTGAGAGGGGTCCTTGGAAATATTTTTAGTTTTGTGTTTTCTGCACTTCTTAAAAGTAATGTCTTTGTTTCAACTTTCAGATTATAGGTTGCCAAATTAAGAGAGAGCCAGCAGAGGCAACTGAGCGATATACAAGGTGGATCAATAATTTAACACAAGAACAACTTCTTACTCAGGTATTTGGCTATATCTGTTCATCTTAAGGTCTCAGAGAGCTGTTTTCCACCCACTGACTTTTGTGGTAATTAGAAAATGGAAGTGTGGTTGTATAAATCCACCAGGTTGCAAGACATGCAGCAAATGTAGCTATGTTTTATTAAACTGATTATGTAATAGCATTTGAGGGGAAATGGAATAATCAAACAATCAAAATGGCTATGCTTCACATATTTTTGTTCTAAACCATGTGGAAATAATTGAATTTTTAGTCCATGATCATTGTTATTGGTGAAGCACTGGTACTCAGGAGACCTGGGTTCTAATGCTGACTCAGCTATGGAGCTAACTGGGTGACTATGGGCTACTTGCAGACTCTCAGCCCACTCCAACTACACGCGGTTGTTGTGAGGATAAGATTAAGAGGAGGAGGAAGAGAATTTTGTAAGCCACCTTGAGTTTCTTAAAAAGAAAAAAAAGGTGGGAACTCAATAACATTTGGGGTGCTCTATCATATTTCACAAAAAAGGGAACATTTTGATTCGAACTTTTTGTTTTAATTACACAGAGTAGTTAAAAAGTTGATGTAAAAACTAGTGAAAAGAGTAACTGCACATTTGTTAAATTCAGTGCAAAAATAATGGAAGTATAGTGATTAAGTACTGAATATTGGTTGTGCATATCTAAATACATGCCTGTACCCATCTGTAAAGTTCACTAAGTGACTCTTGAACAGTTTTCTGTCTGGTAACTGGTCTCTTCGGTACCTGTGAATGTAGAACAGACATGTGGATGGGCAAACATAACAAATTATAAAGCAATAGGAAAAATGAATATGTATACTCAGTCAAACAATTCCACAAAAGAGTTAATTCTTGCTCTTTTATCAATATACATAAAGAATGAAGATCCTGCAATGTTTCTGTTTCAGTTAGAACATTGTTTAAATGCAAGTTTAAATACAAATAGAATCATTTCAATAATATGATTTGAATGATGGGCATGTGACAATGGATAACCATTAAATGTTCATGATTTGAGGCATGGTAGAAAACAATCTTCCCAAGCTCTGTGGAACTGAGGGAATGTTTCAGCAGTGGCCCATCACCATAGTACCGTATTTTTCTGTCTGAAAGGCGCCCCCATGTATAGGATGCCCCCCACTTTTCTTACTGATCTCCGAGCGAGTAAGCTGCTACCTCACCATGCGCATCTGCCCCCTCGCTGCCTCCCCGCATGCCCGCCCGCGATCGCGCCAGTCTCCCCCCCGGGTGTGCCTGTGCCCACCACTGCCACCTTTCAACTGGCCCATTGAAAAAGTTTGAGGACCCCTGGATTACATGCTCTCCGCAGATCAGCTGACGTCTGTTACATAAGGCTCATGATTGGAGGAAACCGGTTAGCTTGTCTCTGCAATTGGAAGTTTCGCTCGTGAAGCTAGTTTGCAGAGATAAGGTATTGGCAGTTTCGCAACTACAGTTCTCCTCTCCCCCCCCCCCCCCCCGTGTATAAGACGCCCCTCCATTTTTAGGTAAATATTTTAAAGAAAAAGTATCATCTTATATATGGAAAAATGAGGTATGTATCTTTGCCCGTTTTCTCCAACTTCTGCAGAAGGCAACAATGTGATAACGTAATCCATTCTCATTGATCTTACTTCCTGCCTTAAATCAGAAAGGTATTCCCCCATTCCATTCCCCCAGCCTTTATACTTAGGAATTCTCTTTGTCTTGGTGGCTAGATCAGGAACTTGGAATTCTTTATTGCACGTTGTTGCTATTTTTGTTGTCTTTCCTGTGCATTTTCTTCAACCTCCTTTCTCAAATCTGAGCTCAGCCTTCACACGTAAGAATTAAGTGTCTTAATGTGGTATCATTTCATGTATATTTATGTGCGCATGTGAAAGAATGATTTGCCACTATAATTTAGATCGTGACACAGCTTACGTATTGATTCCCATATATAGACAGTGAAAGAAATCAAGTTAACCCCCCCTCCCCAAAAAAAAAGATCAGGCAGGTCTTTGTTGGGAAAGTACCATATTTTGGTGCGCGATGACTGAGTAATTCTGACCTTTGCAGATAAGATTTTTATTTTCCTTTTGGTTTCCCACTAATCCTGTCCAAGACAAGTGTTGCTTAATTGCCCATTCCATCAAATCAACAATGTGTTCTGTAATTTAAACCCTCTTATGTAAAAATTAAGTAAATGAGTAAATTTTGTCTATAAGGCATCTACTCTTGCCTTGAGACATCAGTTTTATATAAGTGACATTTTAACTGATTAATTAGGATTTATTTTGAAGTATTGACATTTTTAAAACTAAGGCAAATTATTTTTAAGTTAGATATAAGATCTGAATTTACATATTTGGCTCAATAGATTGTTTCATTAGGCAGGTGGCCTAATGAAAGAAGACTTTGGCCAAGACAAGCATTGTTACAGAAGAAACCTGTCTGGCTTATAGGAAAATTGATGGGTCTAATGATTGATTTAGTGGTGGAACATGCCTTAAGAGGCACATATTTTGAGTTTAAAGTTTGTGGTATTATGGTCAGGACATTTGTTTTTAATTTTATTGAATTTAAGTCACTCACGAGGAGAATGAATCTATGTTAGAAATTCAGTTTCATTTCTGTATTGTTGTATTACTGTTGGCATATTTGAAAACTTCAGGGTAAGAAAGACAATGCTGGGAGAAATCATGTAACATTTAAAAAAATATGGTAAAATATTGCAAAGCTCCTGTTAAAACTGATCATTTGAATAAAGTATTCAATTTACAAAATACAATCACACATTTACAAAATAAATGTATGTTGTGCATGTGTCATAAGGAGATATTCAGTAAGGAGAGAAGTGGTAGCATACATCTGCATAAATTACTTTGTAACATTTTGGTCTGGAAATGTATACTTAAATGATTTTAAATTTAATCTGTTATCAGATTATTGAGGCAGAACAAAGGTTTGAAAACTGTGATCAGTGTTCTAATTACATTGTTCTAAGGGGCATAAGTGTTAGAAAGAAAGAAAAAGAAAGAAAGGCATACTTGATAAAATGACTTGAAGGGTATCAGATTGGATGTATGACAGTTTTATGAAGCTTTTCACTACTTTAAATGGAAATTTAATGTACAGTGTTGATAGGAATGACCTATGTAAAGTGGATATGCAACCATTTAGTGAAATCCCTTAAAAGATATCAACATTCTTTATGAACTTGCTTATTGTTCAACAAATTGTGCTAGTTACATTAGTTTTGAGACTTCTGTTCATTTGGCCAGAGATGAAGGCAAGAGTAGGTGTTCCCTTCCTAGAGTGTTTCCCCGGCTTCTACCAGTTAACTTAGGTTTCTATAATACTTTGTGGCAGTTAACTTTGACATACATGACTGCTGTGTTGACCTGATTCTGTTTGTTGATGTGGTAGTTAATAGTCATCCTATCTCAGAATCAGTAATCACATGAACAATCAACTGCATACACATCAAAAGTTAACTATATGCAGAAAAAAGGAATCTCTTAGAAATTCTGAGACTGTTTTAAAACACAGGTGTTCAAAAGTTACTTGAAATACTTGCAGGAAAATATACTTTCTGTAGTCTTTTGAAAATCAATGTTATAGCATATTCCTTAAATCCTGTTTGATTACTTCTGGGCTGTGAAAAGTATGAGATGCTCTTGTGCAGACACAGTGCAGTTTGAGAATGATCACAAGTGAAAGGCTGTAGGGTACACATGGCTTCTGTGGTTAGCAGAATGTTAGCCAGGCCCTAGCCCAGGAGGAAACGTGAGTGGTTGTAAGGCATCCGGTATGTGAAAGGAGGAGGAAGTGGTCTGCATCACGCTGCTGAGGAACTGTTGGGCCTCTGCCCTCTCCATGGATGAGCTGGCTTCTCTGATGTGGGTGTATTTAACCTTTACACCAAAACTTGCAGAGCAGCTTTCTGTATGCTCACTTTGAAATATCCTGTCAGTGTGAAATGAAATGCCATGTATGAGTCGTGCTGCTTTAAAAAGGACTAATTATTGAAACAGAAACTTGGTAAGCTAGTGTTGGTGTAGGGTTTTGTTCTTTAAGGGGAATTTTCAGTAGTTGCCCACATTTAAATAACTTCACAGTTATAATACACACGTGATAACAGTTACCCAAAGGAAAATATGCTTGTAAAAACACTTTCAGGATCTGCAGAGAACCTAGATACAAGAAACTATTTTTGCCAGTGGTAGCTCAGTGTACTTACAGGGTTAGCTTCTTCACTGTAACATGTTCAGTTCCTATGAATTCTACAATGTTACAATACCATCTTTAGCAAAAGGATCCCTTCAAAGCCATTCTCAGTGAGGAGCGCTTCTTTTCTTCTCTGAGAGTTACCCTATTTTCTTACATCCTAGGTACATGTGGCTGCATAACAAATGTTGCATTTTCTTTTTCAGGCCTTAATTATGCAGCTTTAGCTTTTTGAGTCTACTCTTTGAGAACCATGCTTTAGATGGGCTCTAGCAGAAGAATAGTGAAGTGATGGTAAGGTTCAGCAGGCAGTATAGTGACTTGTTCCCAATGTTTAAATATTTTAAGTATGTTTTATGCTCATTTGTGGATTATTATGGATTATTATGGGTTTATATGCATTTATAAGCCCTCCAGAGATTTGCAATGTAATTGGACAGGATAAAAAAATACCCAAATAAATAAATAAATAATGGGCTCTAAGCCATGTTGGGTCAGGTTCATCACAAGCTTTCTCCACCTGCACTCTAACCATCTTTCTTCAACAGAAGCACCAGCCATATTAGCTGGAAACCTCTCCAGAGCCCTCTGGAAACCATATTGAGACCTTGAGTATAGATGGGTATAAATGTTTTAAATAAATAGATAAATAAACCATCAGGATCCATCAGTCTCTGCGAGTGGACCATCTTAATAGGTCCCCCTATTGCAGGACCCCCTTCCCCTTACTAGGGGAGAAGAGGCTGAAAGCCTAAACCTCAGAAGAAAGTGATCTGACCATGACAAAG